ATCAATTTTGAGATTGCATTATCTATTTTATCTTAAGTATTTTTGTCTACTAACCAAAAATTGTTTGTAAGCTCTAAATGCACTTCTACAGCTAGTAGGTATACCACCAGTAGCTCTTCATGTGATTCATAACAGATTTTCACAATGGTGAAAGATAGAAATAAACAATGACAAAACTGATATCAAACATGTGAAAAATAGTCAACTTTCAGGGTTCTTGAGAAAATTGAAGCAAATAAAGGAAATAGTTAGTTTAAATTGGTTTGGTATCCTTGGCAACTGACTAGTTATTTCATCAAGATTGTATGGAGTCAAATCAAGCAACAAATTTTTACTCATAGCAAACACCAGAATTGCAAAACTAATGTCAGGTAGATCCTGCATTGCAATTCATGATTCAGCACTGGCGTTATGATTGTTACAGGTGATCTGTGATGATTGACATGGACAAAGATTTATCGTGATGCTGTGACATACAAGAAGTCAAAACAAGTGGAAGCTACACGCAATGGTGGCATTGTTCATTGCTTGATTCACAGTTAATGATTGATAATGGATGCCCAATTTAAGGTCAAGAAGGCTGATGGAGAGCTTGAGAAGACGGTGATATCTCAGTAAAAGGCCTTACTTTACAGCCATGTGGAATTTCAAATAGTTGAATGCTTTAGATGAAGTCTCTCATCTCCATCATGGAGACAGGTAAACAGAATATATCCACCCTTAGAGCCACAACTAGAGCTTCCCTGCAATTTTTTTAAACCATGAGATTCCTGCTAGATGAATACCTCCTATTGGACAGTTAATGAAAGTGTACTATGGTACACACGATTTCAAATGTATTGAAGATTTTTTTTTGAGGGGGGGCCATGATATTTCTAAAATGAGTAGGAAAATTCCAATCCTTGATGGAGTCTTTCTGACTGCTTACAAGAGATTTCCCCATCTGACACTGAGAACTGAAGATAGCTAGAGCCTTATAGCCTAGACTGTATGAAAATGATGAAATCAATGAAAGTATCAGTGACATCTTGCCAAGTGCTTTTTGAATAGTAATCTCATCATCATCATTAAGCCTGAGCTAGATTTTTATGTTGTGCTGGAATTATCATTACTGACTAAAGTTATAATTTTACAATTGAGGCATTAAATTCTCAATGCAACTGGCACTTGAGAAAATGAAACTTATAAATTTGTTTTATCTTTATCTAATTTTAAATACTAGTAGCCCAGAAAATGCAAGAAAAACCACTAGATGTAGAGAATGAAGGTGAAGCATTTATGCGAAAAAATTTTTTTTGAGTTAAATGTAAAATGAAGAATGAGTGATAGACTGATACATATTTACCTAATTTAATTAAGAGCCCAAAGAATACAAGCAAAAAATCTCAATGTGGAAAATAAAGTAGTAACTTTAATTAAAAATTACAATGATTTGGTATCTTATAAAAAAGTGTAAGGTTTTGAGCTAGTCGAATCTGAACTCTAGCTGGCTCAGACTATCACTGGGTATATATATACCTATATCATATAAACCCAGTGATGTAGGTATCCCAGGATGAGGGTTCTTGAATATAACCGTGTATTAGTTACATACATGTGGTATATGAATAAGCATTGTCAAAATGGACATTGATTAATGCACAATTAACTGATTATTTGCAGGTTTAAAAAATCTATTATTGTTAACTGTTGCTGACTCTTCCCACATCAACCAGTGTCAACCACACGTTGGAAGTATGTGAAAAAATTAATTGCATGATGTGTATGTACATTTGTTTTGAATATATACCCAAATCTCACTTAATAGTAACTATCTCTAGAATTATAATTTAGCAGAGAATTGTTGACCTGATAAATCTTCACCTAAATATTGGCTACAGCTGAAGCTCAATGTGCTAATACACATCAAAAATTTTTTCTGTATTTATTGGCCATTCCAATAAAAATAATAGTACTTTTTTTCTCACTGAACACATAGAAAACATATCTTAACTCCAATTATTTCTACCCCAGATGCATGGAACTCTCTACTTACAAGGATCAGTTGACATTAAAAATGAAGACATCATTCATCTTCCCGCCGAGTCTCTCGTGATGCTCTTCAGCTTGCAGGCGGCATGTTCATCTCTACCGGTACACGTTGTATTGGTGCATAGTATAAACTCGACTAAAGAAGAGAGCACCAAGGAAGTTTCTCAAACTCAGTTAAATGGATTCCATCAATCAGATGGAGGTCATAAAATTAAAATCAAAGACAGTTGCTGTGATGTTAATAGGTTGAATGTTGCAAATGAAGAAAACTCGTGTACAAATTTAATTTTCAGAACAAATAAGAAAAGCCTTGCTTTTCCTATATCACAGCTACACACTGATGAATGTTCAGAGTTATTAAAGAGATGTGCGCTGCCAGCAGTTGTTTGTCCAGCAGAAAAATGGTGTGTTGCTGGCCTAGCTGCCTCGCTGCGCTTTGTGCTCAAGCAGGCAGTTGAAAAGAATAACGATGTGTTGGCTAAGAAATTACTAGGCTTCAGACTTGGTTGTTTACAATCCTGTTCTGAGGTGAGCTGCTGGACCAGATTTTGTGAAGTAGAAGCGCCACTTGCACTCTTCCAGTCATTTTCCAAGAAGAGAATAGAGGAAAATGTATCAAATACAATAGAGTTTCCTAGCACTGTTTTACGCTTCAACAATCACCTTTCAAAACCACTTATCTTGCATAATGCATTGAAAAAGAAGCAAGAATATCTGGTCAAAACTCTGAAAACAAAAGAAGAGAAACAAAACATGCTGTCTAAGAAACTACATGAACTACCAGAATTAGAACATTGTTTTGCAGAGGGCTTGGACATGACTATAGCTGATGTTGTACTTTTTGTTTGCTTCAAACTGATCACCATTAGAGAGCCATACATGGATTTCGCCAATATATCTCCTCTCGTGATGAAATGGTTGTCCTCGCTGTCGACCAGTGAAATAATACAGAGAGCTTTACCTCTTATCGAGTTGATAGAAACTTCTTGTTGTGATAGAGAACAAAATTGCTGTATAAATGTTACCATCCCTAAAGTTATTGATGAAAGCTTGTACAAGAGTGATCCAGACCGAGCAAGAATTGATGTGAGTGGAAGGATGACGTGTCAACAAGACATTAGTCGTGTAACTGAAAGTCTTTCTAGCTTGAATACAGAATACAGTGCCTGTCCAAACACGGCGTTGCTCCAGATTCCATGGTCAGACTACCCAAAAGCTGTGCACCCTCAGGAAGGCAATCTGCCTCTCTCACGATTGCAGCGCAAGTGCCAGCAGCTGGAAAATATGATCCACGCCGTGCTAAGAATAGCCAAGCCAGGACACAAAATAGTGGATTTTTGTGCAGGTGGCGGTCATGTAGCATTGTTACTAGCATACATGCTTCCTAAATGCACTATTTTAATGGTGGAAAATAAATCCAGCTCCCTTGAAAGAGCTAAAAAGCGAGCAAATCTTTTGAAACTCGACAACGTGGAATTTTACCAGTGCAATCTGGATTATTTCACAGGAGAATTTGACGTAGGCGTTTGTCTTCATGCTTGTGGCCAGGCAACTGATATGGTATTAGAGAAATGTTTCCAACAAAAAGCCTCATTTGTGTGTGCGCCATGCTGTTACGGGTCCATAAAACCTAACCCAACTGTGCACTATCCTCGCAGTCAACGCTTCTGTGAACTTTTACCAGATATTATGGATTACCTCACGATATGCCACGCAGCTGACCAGACACATGGCGCAGATCATCCATCCACGGCACAAGGGCAACTCTGCATGCGCCTCGTGGACGGTGATAGACTCCTGCACGCTCAGCAGCTGGGATACTCAACTGAACTGCATCTCATGGTGCCTCCATCGTGCTCTCCCAAGAATCATATTCTCATAGGTACTCGTACATGAAAGACTTAGCTTTTCAGAACATTCAAGTTATCGTATTGAGATTATAATTATTATGTAGAGGTTGTTTTTCAAGGCTTGAGTTCAAAGGCTTGCCATTAATTTATGCAACTGCACGTCCTATGTTACGGTAGTTAATTCTGACCACCTATGATTTGGTGGGCCTTTGACATTATTTTAGCAAAATTGTTTAACTTTCATCAACGCATAGGTAATAAAAATTAGTCTTACGCAAACCAATGAACACATGTGCGACTGACTCGTATCTTCATGTGATTAATAGCATTTGGTCTCATTTATATTTTATTATATTTAATTAATACAAATGATGACTTTGACAGATTGTCAAAAAATTATCGCATCGATGATGGACAACCTAGTGTTAGATTGTGTTGAACAGTGTAATTTAATTTACAAAATATTATCGTTTCATTTACAAATACTGCTTCATGGTCGTAGAAATGTTAAAAATTGGATAGGACAGACGTTGAAAGCCTGCTATGTCTCTTAAATAAATAAAAATTATACAAACTTATTTCATCTCAATACCTAGCGACGAAAAACTAAAATCATCTACTCAAAAATCAGCCATTTTTTAAACATGTGGATTATATGCATCGTTTTGTCTCACTAAGATCAAATGCTCCTAACATAAATAAGAACCTTCACTTGTTGTAAGGCGTGTTTTTCAACAATGATCTCAATCCCCTGCCTTGAATACAAATTGTGAAAATTTTACTAATAAAAAAAATTATTTTTGACCTTCAATTTGATTGACCTTCATGCAGCTAGCCTGCAACAAACTTGGTCACCTTTCTCTTTGCGGTCATCCATCTTGGCTATCCTGGAGCCGAACTGAATTGCTCGTTTAGGCAGGCCAGCAGCATAAGTTAGTCCCTGTCTGTAGGCAAGTACTCGCAGCAAAAGCTTCTCACCAACGCCACGCGGCAGCCGAAGGTCAGCTTTCAGCCAAATCGGATTGCGCGACGGCAGCCGCTCGACGTCCATGCGTGTCTCGGCCAGCAGCGCCGCGTGTCCGCCGCTGCGGAACGCGCTGCGGTGCCGCGAGTATCCGCACAGCTGTTCGTCCGCGCCGTGCCCGCACAGCAGCACCTGAGAGGTACAACTCTTGAGGATCTCGGGACGCGACAAGCATTTTAGTACTCGTTGCAGTACTGCAATACAACTCTGATGAATAATAATTCAGGTCATTAGTGATTACTGGTAAAAATACGTCATGTATATATAATATCAGATAATTTACAAATTTAATTGTTTTTGAAAACCTGCCCTGAGAATTAATCGCAAATAAAAACACTGACCTTGCCATCAAATTCGTAGGGAGATGATTATTTGTGGTAAAATGAACATGTAGGTAAATATGGACACATAACACCGATGTGAGAAAATGTTCAAAGTATAACCGCAGTTAGAAAGTACGATGATCATGTAGATACTCAGAATAGGATATAAGGCCCTGTAAATAATTTGCCCTATGGTAATTATCAAAGATCGTTACAGCTGAGCTTAAAAGGATTATTTTGAAGAAAAAAAAACAGATCTAGCACTTATACAAACAATATTCCGATAACAATAACTTAAAATATTTATTCTTTGTCATCTATTCTTACTATAATCGAAGTTAATACAAGTTGCATAGATGACTTATGACCACCTCACTTACGGCCAGGTGATGTAGCCCAGAAAGTTAGTACAACACCATCACACTATCTACGTACCTTATAACAGTAACTTTCGTTATCTGGCTTTTGATAGGAAAACAATGTGGTGATTAAATTTGGAGGTTTGTGTGTAATCATGATTTCCAGTCATAACCCCAGCGAAGGTTAATGTTCCAAGTATTATGATTTACTTGAACCACTAACTCAGTAAACACCCACGTGCCTGAGGCGACCGATACTCACTCTGGCAGGAGAGACGTATGGCTGGCCAGAGACCAAACCCTGGCCACGTCCAGCGAACCAGAGGGCGCAGCCGATGCTGTCGTCGAGGACGGTGTTGTGGGGCCTCAGTAGCGGCCTTATGTGAGAGGCGCGACATGCTTCCAGCTCCTCGCGTGACACGTTCACCTGCGCAGCACAATATGGCGCTGTAGTGTCTCCAGGAAGATGTGGAGTTATGAGGTGTTACATGGTCTTGTGGTGCTGTGGTGAGTGGTGGTCTCGTGGTGCTGTGATGAGTGGTGGCCTTATGGTGCTGTGGTGAGTTGTGATCTTGTGGTGCTGTGACCAATGTATTGTGTTAAAGTTCTTTTAACTTTTTCCAAAAATAAAAATTCACCGCAATCACATTTTCATAAATCAACACTTTCATTAAGGATAACTCAAAATAGCATATCATGGGTAAAAACATTTGCATCTATACCTACTATAAAAGAAATTTTCATAAATATTTTTGAATGTAAAATTAACTGGATTTTTCTTGTCTGGATTCAAAATAATTGTACCTCTAATCAACGTGGAAATATGAAAAATATTTTCAGCTCGAGATTTGATACACTAAGCGCAGAAAGTGGCATCACAAAATAACACTGTCAGCCAATAACATTAAATTCTGATGTACTTTGTCCCTTTATAAAATTCGATTGGAGCTATGGAATTAATGAAAAACTAAAGCATTTAATTAATATTACTAACTCCCACCTCAACAAAATTCCATGACCTATCAGGGCAGAGAGTCTGTAGCTGTTGCAGGCACAAGCGTCCTGTGACGCGATCTGGTACTTCGAAGGACAAATTTGAATTTTTGCCTAAATCTTGTGAAGATATTCTTATGTCAGGGCTGTTGCCTTCGGTCTCTTGAGACATTGGTTCAATGTTGCAATTATCTTTCAACTCTTCAGAAGTACTTTTGTTGACACCGTTGTCCTCAGAACAGAGGGAAAGCTTCCTTTGATGTTCCACACTCAATAAATTCAATGTTTTCATGTTGTTGCGCGATTGAGTGTCACTAACTGTGGGTTTCTTTGGAATGTTCTCATCAACTGGGCAACTTACTTTCCTTAGTTTCTGATGTTGAATATTTTTAGTTCTTTTCTTGCTCTTTTGAGGAGCAATTTCCCCGTGAGTGGGAAAAGCAACATTAATAAGATCAATCGATTCTCCCACTGGCAAACATTTGTCAAGTAAAAGAGCAATCACAGCCGAGTCTAAACCACCAGAAAAAAGCACAGCCACACGGCAGTGACCGCAACAGTCCATGGATCTATCACTTTTATTCATAGCTTCGTCAGCTCTTTTTGAACTGAAACTCTTCAGCGCCTTCTCACTAGTGACTTCATGGTTGATGGAACAGGATTCCATACTGTTAGCCAGTCTATGATCATTTAATTTACAACTTAGAGTTGCTGTACCGTTTCCACTGATCTTTGGGTTAAAAGAAATTCCATTTTCAGTGTCAGCAATTCCAACTGGGTTTACATTAAATTTCCTTTCTAAAGAACCATGACCATTAATGTCTTCTAATTTAAGTGCATCAGGAACGAAAAATCCTCCCTGATTACACTCATCAGCACCACTTGAATTGGACACAGAACAGTTCAGGCAATAACTTGGGCATGCAGCAACACGCCTCTCCACTGATTGCAAAAGTAAATTCAATAACACGTCGGAATATTTTACATATGAACTATCACTGAAAATTTCACAAGGCTCACTACCATCAGGCAACTTTGCATCACACTGCGTATGGCTTCCAAGGAGAGAGTCGGGATCAGGAAGCACCATATTGAACTGTTCTCTTATTGGTGATATCATGAAGCTATCATTGGCAATGGGCACGTCAGTAAAATAAGAATAGCTTGAACTGCTGTCCCAAGGTATCAGAGATACAGGAAACTTATCATAACTTGAATTTACTTCATCCATGTTCTTCAGATCTAGCACAAAGATGCCGTAAGTAGGAACTTCCTCCAAATCACTACACCCACAAACAGAACTCAATACAAAGATTGGAGAACATTTCTGCTGCCCAAGATTTTCATTGGATTTGTCAACCAGCGATATTATTTCCACCTTTTCATTATGGGAAGCTTCTACAGTACATTTTTCATTCCCATACTGATTTAGTGAAGAGTGTTCTTTATGAGACCAGAGTAAGCTGTGTCTGCCCAAAACATCACGTCCAAAATATAAACGCTGAGAGCTCTTCCGATAATAAATAAATGACCAAGGACCTAAAATCTTGCTTATCAATTCAGGCAAGTCTTGCTCGTCGCTGCAGTAGAGCTGATTCAGCAAATGCGTTGAGTCACTTTCATTTGGTGGAGGCATCTGAAAATTAGTAAATCAATTAGAGGTAAGTAACATTAATTTCTTTAATCTATTCAACACATTGGATAACAAAACACTACCTATACATTACTTAAATGGAACTGTTGTTTTGTCTTAGTCATTTACATGGCATTGAAGAACTATAATTTATAAATAATTTATCTATAAGGGAAACCTTCTGAAATAAGTGCAAACCAAATACTGGCATTATTCAATACACATCTCTCCCCTTCATTGAAGTATATCAGTAAGCAACACCGCACACACCAGATCTCCAGCAAGGACATCTCCATTGAAGAGCAAGATGTTGCCGTCATCATCTGAGAGAGGCTGTGGGGCAGGCTTGCTGCCCTGCAGCCAGAGTACGGTGGCCTTCAGCACAACACTCAGCTGCAAGCAAATCAAATTAACTAACACTTCTGGACAAAAAATATTATCAAAATTATTTCCACAGTTCAATTTCAAGTGTTGCAAAACCTTCACCTGCTTGCTTATGAAAATTGTATTTTCAAAACATTGCAATCCATTAACATGTCATTTAGTAACTTGCTTTTCTATCTTCTGGCCCCAGCAAGAAATTTTGTTTGACTCATTGAAAAAACAAATAAGATGATTACTAAGAAAAAGTATGCTCTGGTTTTCAATCAAACTAGCATGAAAGAAAAGCTTTTGCCGAATCGCACCAATTTTGATATACTGTATATAGGTGCATATACATAAATTCTTAGTAAAGTAGGCAAAAAGCTGTTCTTTAATACAAGTTTTGTTGAAGCTCAGAGAGTATTTATTACTAACAATTTTCTTATTGTTTTTCTCAATTCAACTAAATCAGGCTTAAATCCATTAATATGTCATTTAGTAACTGTCTTTTTGATATTCTGGCCCCAGCAAGAAATTTTGTTTGACTCATTGAAAAAACAAATAAGATGATTATTAAGAAAAAGTATGCTCTGGTTTTCAATCAAACTAGCATAAAAGAAAAACTTTTGCCAAATTGCACCAATTTTGATATAGGTACTGTATATAGTTGCATATAGGTACATAAATTCTTAGTGAAGTAGGCAAAAAGCTGTTCTTTAATACAAGTTTTGTTGAAGATCAGAGAGTATTTATTATTAACAATTTTCTTATTGTTTTTCTCAATTCAACTAAATCAGGCTTTAGAAGTACGTAGTTATTTTAGTAAATGTTTTTGCAGTAATCTCTGATTAATTTTCAGCTTTGATACAAGGCATTTCCACAATACACCTTGTATGTACTAATGTCATTCCAAAATTTAAATTACAAGTGTTTATAACTCTTCACTTACTGGATAATCTATGTTGAATATTCAAAACATTGTAAATTAAAATCAAAACAAAATGTCTCTTGAAAACCTGATATTCAAACTATCTCATCCTACAAAAAGCCTGCTTAGCCAAATTGCGATGAACAACAAGAAAATTGTTAACAATAAATACTCTCTCATCCTTAACAAAACTTGTAATAAATTTATTCCAGTATGAACAACTTCAAATGGGCCAAAAATAAGAAAAAGTGAGTGATAGATATATATATTGCACCTAAATTAATTTTAGACAATAATAGACATACATACATTGCCAATGTGAATGGTGACACCAGAAGAAACATCAGGACCTCGATGCTTGAGTAGCTCTTGTTCAGCCTGTACAGACAGAAAATATGTCATTAATTGGCCTTGATCACAAAAATAAACAAGATTTATAATAAAAAATTCCAATTTGAATAACCATTATTACATTGATATACAATGGATCTACTAGGCATTTCTGTAAATTCAAATTCTAGAAAGATATTCATGAGGACATTCATGAAGAAATGGCAATAAATATGTTTAATCCTTGCTAAGTTTAGCATACTTCATCATTACTCAAAACTGATAACATTTGAATATTCAACAAAAAACTAAAATAAGTGGACTGGAATAATAAAAACTCTGAAAGCATTCATTTTTGGCCTAGGTACATACATATAAAAAGTACAGTTTTATTAAAAATCTTATTAGAGAATTTCAAATCATTGAGATTTGAGGAAAACAAGAGACTTTTTTGTTGCCCTTCTTTTTTGAGTCAGTTACATCTAGTAGACTGGTAATTATAATGACTATCAGCCTTATCATACATTACCAATTGCGGCAAATGAGAGACTTTCTATGAACCAGTTCATTTTTAATTCCCTGAACTAGTTTAAGGGGAGTGTCTGGGTCAAAAACTAACTTTTTCATTTACGGACGGATTTCTTTGAAACTTGGTACACATATGTAAAACAAAAATCTAAGACTTTTTTGTTCGTGTCAATTTTCCAAAAAAATTGATAGAAAACATGAAATTCATATGAAACGGCAAAAAAGGGGGTCCTCAAGAAATCTATCTCCTCCTAGGATTTTCAAGCTACAACATTGAGAGACATATCATTCGATGCGCAAAAGACCATATCTATAAAATTGCGTATACGTTTTTCGAAATTCTAATTTTTGTGGATGTGGGGTCATTTTTCGTAAAATTTTTTATTTTTCCCCCCTTCCCCCCCCCCTTTTTGCCAAATATTTCTCAAACTATAACGAAATAACAAAAATCCATACGCAATTCTGTAGATCTCTCCTTTGCAAATCGAATGGTATATCTCTCAATGCTGTAGCTTGAAAACTGTAGGAGGAGATAGGTTTTCCGTGACAATACATGTAAGTGTGAATGTTGAGGAGAGCGCGACAAAGTCCCGCACGCACCACAATATGCGCTCAATGTAGCATAGATTCCAAACTAAATCTAAATGTTTCTGGAGCTTGATTCCACTCAAGGATGATGGGAGCAACTACATGCGCATCTCTCCCTACAAAGCCCAGGGGCACACTGAGTCAGACCTCATAAAAACACTATATTTGTAGTAGTGGACAGCAAATTATCTCGTATCTAATTACTGAAAGAACTCCCCCCACGCCCCCCTTTCATGAAGTGTCGTGTACGTGAAAATCGACGTACAGAGATGGTAGTGGTACCATTGGATAGGCCAGAATGTCAGCTTTAAGATGAGACTAAACACGTAAGTGCAGCACAACTCAAGTAGACACTATATTTAAAGAGCTCAGCAGCTAATTAGTTCCTATCTAATTACTTAAAGAACTCCCCCACCCGCCCCCCAAAAAGAAAGTAATTAAAAAAAGTCTCTACTTAAGTACTTAAAAGATACTCTCTAACTGAGATTTACTGTATTCCTGATGTTGGATCAATAATATTCTAGCTATTTTTATCTATAGGTAATAATTAGGTAGGTCATTTAGCAAACTATGTAAAAACTTTTACCACCACGTTAGCTGCTCTGCACGTCGGCAGCAAACTGTGCTCCTGTCAAACTTACATCAGTGTTCCATGAGCTACAGAGGCAGGAGGTACTCAAGCTTTCAGCTGCAATGTCTCATTTCACATTGTTTTTGCAATGATGGGCAATGACCTGATGGACAATGAGATAAAAAAAACTATTGCTACATTAACTTTGAAAAAGAAACTAGCAATAAAGATGCACATGTTCTAAGGCACATGCACATGTAAATTATCTTCAGTCACCTCACCATCGGTAACACCACAATATCAAGCAGTCAGAGTTATACACAGAAATGTCCCAACTTGAGACCAGAAATTCAATTGGTTATGAATTCAGGATTGTGCATTTGAAGACAAGATTAACCCTAAGCACCCTGCATTTTTGTGTTATGTTACAACCCGGGCTGCAAATGATTTTGGCCCTTCATTCTGTCAAGTATTTTTTAGATTCTTTCCAAACATACGCAACAAATATTTTACTAAACATTAATATAGATTGTTTTCTATCAAATGCAGTATTCAAACTCACAATTATGAACTCTAATCCATTTTTAAAAATTATGAGAATGAAACAACTGAATTTCAGGTCCCAATCAGAGGCTTTTTTTATTCAGAGCCATTTCCATTTACAACAATTCTGACCGCTTGATAGTCAATATTGTGGTGATGTTACCAGTGGTGAGGAGACTGTAATTCATTCACGTGTGCGTGCACCTGAAAACATGTTCATCTTTATTGCTGGAGCATGTGCATCTTCATTGCTGGTTTCTTTATCACTTTATTTGTTCCATTCGTCTATTTGATCTCATTATCTGTGAGTTAATAGCCTGATATTGCAAAAAGTACATGAAATGATAGATTTGAGAGCAGCAGAATGCTCAAGAGCCTCCCACCTCTGTTGCTTGCTGAACACTAATGCCATAAGTTTGACAAAAGCAGCTGCTGCCATGCAAAGCTGCTCACTTGGTTGTAAAAGTTTATATGTAGTTTGCTAAATGACCTACCTAATTATTATAGATCAAAATAGCTAAAATATTATTGATTCAACACCAAGAATAGATCTCATTTTATTAGAAATGAAGGGTGTTTTCCCAACAAACCCATGCAGATTAGGGTTAATGCCTGGTAAAATAATCACAGTACAGTATATGTAAGATGGAAGGCATCTAAAATATACTTGGCAATAACACCCGCAGCTGGGCAGGGTGGAATTATGGAAATGTAGGTTCATATATTCACGATTGATTCAGCCTAGTAGCATGATCAGTTACAAATATTAGCTAAATATAAAGTAAAACATAATTACACACCTTTGGATATTATAAAACATGTCCATCTTTTAATTCATAATATTTACTCTAATTTTTTTAGATGGCCAAATTAAATTAAGTCATTAACCAGAAATTTTCACAATTCACCCATGAAAATTATATTTTTTGCCTGTGCCAGGCTGTGGTCTTTGGAAAACTTTGTTCAAGTGTAATTATCCATGTAATATCCTTAATTACGATCCTTAATATCCTTCAGTATACACTATACAACAATCCAAGATTGGGAGATATTGAAATGATTGAATGCAATTTTAGGGTAAATCAAGAAATTAATTATAAACAGACAATTAAAATATTCTATTATTGCCATTTTGAGCAAGATTAACAATTAAATTGTCTTTTTTGACCTGGCAGCTTGGAAATTACATATACTTACTCTTACCAGTCTAGCCATAGCCAATGCCAGTCTAGCCAAGAAAAGTACAAGAATCGGCGACAGGCCTATCCATTGTACCTATCCAGGCATATTCTTCAATGCAGAAGATACTATACTATACCTACTACTGGTACTATAGTACTATACTATACTACTGACAGTTCTACTGTCCCATGACTCCCAGTCTCCCATCAGCCCCGATTGGAAATTTAAGGTAATGATCAGGAGTAGGCCTAATGTATTTCAAAATTCTCACGGAATTACACCGAACCGCCATTGCACAGAATTTGTAAGAGATCTTGAACATTCTTACGGAATTGCTGTTTTCACAATTCATCATTTAAACGACTAACATCTCAATTTCGTCTATAAAAGATTACTCATTTTGCTGCTTTAATCCTTGAGCATACCTAGAAAATAAACACCTAAATTGTTTTAGTGTACTGAAATACTGCATGACATCAGCCATCAACCAATGTTCAAATTCATTATGTGCACTTCAATAATTTGAAGTAAAGCACAGCAACCACAGCTTGCTAAGGAAAAATTTCAAACATGTAATGGAATCAGGGCTCCCGGCTCAGGAGCATAGCATTGTAACGGTGACAAAGCATGCCGCATGGTACAGTGGTACTGATGGTACTCATGGTAGCTTGGATGGTAGGTAACCCTTCTTTCAAGTCTTGAATAATTTGGACTTTGGAGCAATTAAAACAAGTGAATGAATTTGAATTTTTAGAGTACACAACACTTGATTTTATTATACCAGTAGATGAAATGAAAATTTAGACATCTCAATTTATATTTCTCATTTTTTCATTTAAAAACTGAGCAGGTAGGCTAATCAATTTCTTTAAAAATGACAGTGTAAAGTTTTCTCAAGAAATAAGCTATGGTGTTACCGTTATAACTATGTGCAATATATATACGATACCTAAATGAACTTCCTACCGGCTACCGTAATCGAAATTGGTTCTCACCTGCATCTCTTGGAGTTGAACGGAACATTTTATTTTACAGTAACACTTTGAAATGCTGGCATATATTCCACACATATTTAACAATATAAGCACCCTTATAACTAAGCAAATTATGAGTTTGTGTATCCAATATTCGAAATACACTAGGACTCAAGCTGGTAGGCGATCCGGTTAACCTGTCAAGTGTCAACCCTGACACACACTGCTCACTGCTGACTGAGCAGAGACTGAGAGGTCACAGAGGTGTAGTAGAATGGAATCCAATTCCGGGTGGAGGCGAGAACTGGCGCCACGTTTGACTTCCTACAGCTCCGTAGTATGAGCTCGACATGAGTTAACACGAACGAACAATGTTCGATTGCTTTAGTCTCTTGAGAATTCGAATAAAAATATTCAACAATTATTTTTTTTTCTTGTGATCTTGCATCAAACATATTGATTTTTTTCAAGTGCCACGGGATATTTAAGCAAAAAAAAAAACATCCAAATAGCCTCCAGACTCCAGAGTACGGTATTTAAAAATGATATGAAGCTATCACCAATAGCGCAAGCATGGGTAATATGAGAGTTCAGAACTTCAGAAAGTCATACAGTCAGTGTTGTCCAAGCCGGCGCTGAGGTCGGTTGTAGCGCATCGTATTTGCTAAGTGCCCTCCTGCGTCTTGTAGATAATGCTCATTTTCACAAGATCTTTGTTTCTGAAAAGCTCAAACTGCTTGGAAATAATGGTAAGAGTAAACATGGATATTATTTACCTTAAAATGTATGTTTGTACATCTACAGATTACAAACAACGTAGGCTATACTAGCTTTACTTGCTTGCTGCAGTGTCACTGCTAGTAGTGTAGTTCACCGTAGTTGAGTTACTTGAGTGTCAGACAAATGGCAGTTCAGCACCCACCATGACCTTGAATTCTATCTACCTCTGCCCGTTTGTTGAATTGATAACACTATAGCTTTAGTTTCTTTGTCTAATGTCCTTCCTATACCTTATTGATCGTAGTTAGATCGTCTACAGATTACAAACAACGTGGGCAACGTGGCTATACTAGCTTTACTTGCTTGCTGCTAACCTGCTATATACTAATATAGTGGCTGAGCAGAGAGTTTTCTAGACTCTCCCTCAAGTTCATTTTTGAGTCCTGTAAGTAGACCAGTGAAGTATCCTGGATACCAGCATTATCATACTTAAGAAATTAGTTTAAATCTTGGTAAATGAGGAAATTAAATAATATAGGCCTACGTTTAAAAATTACTTTTTAAAGACAACACTTCTAAAGAATCCAGTGTCTTCAGTCGTAAAGATGTACAATGAATTTCTCATTTTACTTTCAATTATTAAAAAAATTAGTTTATCATATTTTTTGATATATAATTTTTTTTCAAAATTATTTATTCTGTCAATTGGACAATTGATTCATGCATTGCCTCTGACTTCACACAAGTGTGCAAAATTTCAGATCAATTGGACAGGTAAAAGTGTGTCAAATATCAGTTATAAGATTTGTAGCTGACAAAATTATTTTTTCAATTTTTTAACGTTGAAAAAAATAAAGAGAAGTGTTGTAATAAAAATGAACTGATTCTAAAAAATATCTGGTTTGTCAATAACTCGATATGTGTGCCGATGCCCGATAGTGGCAAAGCAGAGATTTTTTTAGACTCTTCCTCAAGTTCCTTTTTGAGTCCTATAAGTATACCAGTAAAGTATCTTAGATACGTACCAGAATTATCATACATAAGAAATCTGTTAAAATCTTGAGTAAATGAGGAAATTAAAAATGAACTGATTCTAAAAACTCACTGGTTTGCCACTATGCTGCAGTGACTGTAGCAGTGTAGTTCACAGTAGTTGAGTGTCAGACAAATGGCAGTTTAGCAAGCCCACCATGACCTTGAATTCTATCTACCTCTGCCCGTTTGTTGAATTGATAACACTATAGCTTTAGTTTCTTTGTCTAATGTCTTTCCTATACCTTATTGATCGTAGTTGCTGTTTAAAGGCTCGTCATACTAACCGCAGACCGCTCAGCTAAATTATGAATTTATTTCCAATGCATTTTTACAATACTTATAGCTGAAAACTTGGGTCCGTCACCATCAGTGGGTCTTTCTATCTTTGATCATAATATAATTATTTACAGATGAACTCAAGAAGAGCAATGTGTTCTCTAGCTGGGCTTCATGGCAGAAAACTTCAAGAGCCTTGGTTGATGAAAAATCTGGCTTTTATTAATGGCAAATTTGTTGGTGCCAAGTCTGGAAAAACTTTTGAAGTAGACAATCCAGCCAGTGGAAAGGTAAGTAATAAGTGTTTGTGTCTAAAGAATAGATGACAGTTTTCTTGTTGTCTTATCACTTGTCTTATTCTAGATCCCATGATTTACTATGAGTAATGAGTGTATGATGACTGATAAGGCAATCATGTGGGACTGGGTGGTATCCACAATACCAGTACTAACACTGCTCATGTAAAAAATAGCTCTGGGCTTCAAATCATGACAAATTGGTATCTCTTATTAAAGAGATTCTAATTTATCTGATTAAATTATAGGACATTTTTCTCAAACCTACATGATTTCTATTGTAATACAAACATTTATTTAAGGATGAATTTTAAGCTATAAAATTTCAATTATAACTATGAGGTGAGAGGCCATGAAAAATTTTCTGGGATTTTTTATAATTAAACCTGAAACTTGTATATATCATATTGTATATTATATGGTATCATCATCACCTCTTTTGATGTAAATGGCTTGTATTTTGTCCTGAAAATTGTTTTGGTGTAAAATTCTCTTCTATTGAGGTTGTAGCATTAGTGTTTAAAATCTCATTTTTTTTCAATTTTATTGGATTTCTTTATTTTATTTGTTACCAATTTAACACCATCAGATTATTGGTGAAGTGCCTGCCATGGATGCTTCTGACACCAAGGAAGCCATTGCTGCTGCTCATGCTGCCTTCGCCACCTGGAAGAACACTACTGCAAAGGTCAATGGCCGAATTCAATATTACTTTACTTCCATACAAAACAGCTGTGTTGCTCTTCATATTTGTCTTTGTATTGTAATGCTTCAAGACTTGCCCTTGCAATTGTCTCAAACTGTTTGCTGTACAGCTTTGCAACATATATTTTTGGGGCGTAATTATTGTGATAATTCATAATTTGTTGACTATAATTAAGTACTCATAACCCACAAGCCAAAAATTGATTATTTGTGTTATTGAAATATCCTCCAAAGATCACACCCTGCTTTAATTATTTTTAACATAAATTTTGTATACTTAACAGCATGTTTGGTGCAGGAACGAAGCAAGCTGTTGAGGCGGTGGTTCACGCTGCTGGAGGAGCACAAGGAAGACCTTGCCATCATCCTAACTGCTGAGGCAGGCAAGCCTCTTGCAGAGTCTCGTGGGGAAGTGGCATATGGAAGTTCGTTCCTTGAATTCTTTGCAGAGGAGGCTACAAGAATACATGTGAGCTTGAATTACCTCTTTACATAATTGAAGATCCCAAAGTAGAAGATCTCTTGACATAACTAAGATCCAATCTATCCCTATCAAACTATCTATATACAGTATCTCAAACACCTTACAGTGAGGGTGTTTCAGAAATTTCTACTTTAAATTGTTTTATAATACCAAGACTTGACTCCTGAGATAGTGTCAATTGTTTGTACGTATTTATTGCTTACAAGATATACTGTTTGCAGGGTGAAGTTTTGCAGCCAGCCTTGCCTAACCGAGAAATGTTATTAATCCGTCAACCTGTGGGAGTGGCTGGACTCATCACTCCTGTAAGGCTTTTTTTGAGGCTATATAATTAAATGTTTTACTTGTTTTTCTTCTATTTTCAATGTTCACCCATAGTAAACACTTGGCAAATAGGTCTCTGTGGTAAGCTGAGTTTATTTATTATGTCAGAACTCAAGAATTTTGTCCGCAGCTAAACTTATCTTCCAAACTTATTGGAATCATTAACTTATTTTCGTCATAAGTTTTCACTTTATCAGTTTCAGTGGCGGAGAAACTGTTGTAGTCACCGGGATTGAATTGACCTCAACAAAACACTTAATTTTCCAGTGAAAATGACTATTCACATGGATTTCCTAAAAAGGCTGTCAACAACTTAAGGCTGCTTAATGACAGTTGGGATGTGTTCCTATCACTCCCCAAATATTTCCACTCCAAGACACGATTTTGACTTTTTATTGAGTGTACAATCGTATTCTTCAAATGAGCATCAGTCGCTTTCTATACACTCTTCTTTCTACTGGTACCCAGAATGCTATGTACTAAACTAGTTATTTAATAATTACACACTGCTATGGAAATTTATATAAATATAAGTGACATTTTCTGTTAATCTCACTCGTGACCAGGAACCTGAAATGTTATTTCTGTTTTGAAGTGGAACTTCCCGAATGCTATGATCACGCGTAAGGCGGGGGCGGCCCTGGCAGCAGGCTGCACGTGTGTCGTGAAGCCTGCTGAAGACACGCCCTTCTCAGCCCTCGCTCTCGCTGCCCTTGCCGACAAGGCAGGCATTCCTCCAGGTCTGCCTTCGGGACGTGTCACAATTTAGTAATTTGCATCAAGTTTGTTAATGAACATATTATCACGTACTTGGTAATCTATTAGCTATAACATCCATTATTTATTTATACTATGACCCACAAATTATGTGTACTAATATTTAGTTTAGAAACCTACTATCGTGCTCCTGTAAGCGGTCAGCCATAAGATACATGACTTATTTATGCTATGACACACAATTTACGTGTACTCAAACACTCCTAAGAAAAGTGTGTTTTATATTGCTGTTATTCCAACCTTTTGAAATATTATTTGCATTTACTATGTTAAAATGCACTTTTATATCAAATTTACTGCAATTTTCTATGGCTGTATTTTTCAGTTTTGGGCATTTGCATGCATCATTCGTGTCAGTGGTTTGCGTTAGTCTTCTAGTTAATGTAAGCGATTGCACCATCAATTCTGGCTTATAATGTACAAAATTTTAAGCCATGACTTTTGATTCCTAAACAATTTCTTTTAGTTTTAATGAATAATAATATTTTATTTCCGTGAAACGACTGCACTGATTCATTAGATCACTTTTTCTTATATCCTTCTCATTTGAGGTAATAATTCCTGCAGGAGTGTTCAATGTCATCACATCCCTCAAGTCTGATGCCGCAGCCGTGGGCAATTTGCTCTGAAATGTAAGCGATTGCACCATCAATTCTGGTTTTGTATAATGTACAACATTTTAAGTGATGACTTTTGATTTTTGAACAATCTGTTTTTTTTTTTTTAGTTCTAATCAAATATACTATTTTATTTCTGTGAAACGACTGCACTGATTCATTTGATCACCTTCTGTCATATCCTTCTCATTTGAGGTAATAATTCCTGCAGGAGTGTTCAATGTCATCACATCCCTCAAGTCTGATGCTGCAGCCGTGGGCAATTTGCTCTGCACCAGCCCACTTGTGGCCGCCATCTCCTTCACTGGTGAGTCTCATGGCCGCCATATCTTTCACTGGTGAGTCTCATGCCGCCATCTCCTTCACTGGTGAGTCTCATGGCCGCCATCTCCTTCACTGGTGAGTCTCATGGCCGCCATCTCTTTCACTGGTGAGTCTCATGGCCGCCATCTCCTTCACTGGTGAGTCTCATGGCCGCCATAAGCGTGAACGGTGGAGCAACCGTCCTGCTTGGCGGCGCACCGCACACTGCGGGTGCGCTCTTCTACCAGCCCACGCTGCTCACTGACGTCACGCCTGACATGCCATGCGTCGCCACCGAGATATTCGGACCTGTTGTTGCTATCTCCAAGTACGTCCTTCTCGTTGATAACTTGCTACATTATCATATTAATAATTGTAACAATAGTGATTATTATTAACTTGAGACGGGGTCAGCTCAGATTAGGACATGTTGACCTAACGCCGATTCATAACCACCCGGCCAACTTGCCGACTGCGACCAGAATTTTCACTACTAATTGCGAATTTCGTACCCACATTTCACTGCTACAATCTTGGTGATCTCAACTACTCAGGCACTACGAGCTAAGAATTTATTTTTTGTGGAGAAATTATGATAATTGTAAACAACCAATGAATTGTTTTTCTAAGCTTTCACTTCTCCAGTTGATTGTATGCTGCAGAATTTCACGGAGCAGAAATGTGTTATATATAATAATAGCGGTTTCAGCGTTTATTAGGCCGTAGGCCTGTCGCCGATTCTTAACATCGCAGAACATCCACAGCAGGTTGCGGGCTCGAACTTCGCAACTCACTGCTACAATTCTGCTGTGCTTAACCGCCCGGCCTCCTCGCCGATTCTGACCAGAAACTGGCGCACAGAGCTGGGATCGAACCCGCGCCTCTCTGCGCCAATCCTGGCACTCTGAACTGTAACCACTGGGCCACCCTGCCCTTGCATATCTCATGGTTGTTAATGGTTTTGTTATGAATATTTGTATGATGTTGGCTGTCCTCGATCAGGTTTGAGACTGAAGAAGAAGCTCTCAGGATCGCCAACGACTGCAAGTCTGGCCTGGCAGGATACTTTATTTCCCAAGACGTGTCCCAGGTCAGTTCACCCTACGTGTCACCACCGCTAATTTTCATCGCAGATTCTGTTTTTTGATGCAATTTTTTGAGTAATTTTCATTACACTTTCTATATTACATGCAATTTGTTGAGCATATTTACATGAAGAATTCTTTCTTCTACTGTCTTTATTTTTTATCCTGTGAGTAGTACACGAGGAAAAGTACGATTAATTGAGTGTCGAATACTTAACCTTTTACTTTTCTTATGTGTGACGTGTCTTCGAAGTTCGTTTGAACTAGACGCCTCGATAAATGCTTCTTAGACTAAGAATAATAATACAATAAACAGGTGCAAATTTAGACAATTAAGCGTTATTCTTGCAAATTTAGATGTAATATCAAAATTTACAATATCAGGTTTGGCGCGTGGCGAGGCAGCTGGAGGTGGGCATGGTGGGCATCAACGAAGGCCTGATCTCTGCCGCAGAGGCCGCATTTGGTGGCATCAAGGAGTCTGGTCTTGGCAGAGAGGGCTCGAGTCACGGCATCGACGACTACACAGAGATCAAGTATCTCTGCATTGGCAACACGCATCTCTGAACACATGCTAGGTTACTCGCCGCTAGATAAATTCCCACTAGCTGGTGTAGCGAATACATGGCTAGTGTCGCACTAGTTAGTGTAGCGACTACGTGACTAGTGATACACTAGTTAGTGTACATGGCTAGTGGTGCAGTAGTAAGTGTCGCAAATACATGACTAGTGACGCACTAGTTAGTGCCACGAAAACATGGCTAAATGGCTAATGGCGCACAAGTTCGTGTATTGTAATGACTCCATTCATGCGAGTGATGAACGATCAATCCGGCTCGGTGCTAAATACAGAAGATTTTGCTTACGAATCAATAAAACGATGATTTTGTTCAAATTTAAGTGTGTCGGTATTAGCATTTATTCACTTTTTATTAGGTCATGACGACAGCCTTGATCGTGAAGTATTCATCAATACCAGTGTCCTCACTTTAAAGTATTCTTCAATACCCGTGTCAAAACTTTAATGAGTGCTGTAGTGTGACGGTATTGTAAACTTTTCTGTATTTTCAATTTACTTCTACAATTTATTAATTAACTACCTTGGAGTTGAATTTGAAGACTTATTTTTTGCGTTAAATCGAAGTAATTAAATCTACCGTTTTTAATTCTTTTACCATATTTCATACTTGTGTTCAGATTTCACTTATCAATATCATGTATTGATTACGACGTCACTATCCGTATCTTCTTATATCGAATAAACTCAAATATTGACTCGTTTTCACCTCAAACCATCTTCTTAGTCACGATTTTCGAGTCTATTGTTATGCATTAAAACGAACGACTCGCTCTATTATTTAAGGAGCTTACATTATTTCTCTCGTGTTCATGGAACATATTGCAGTGAATATATGCTACTTGCTGTAAACTTAAATCCCCTGGCAGCTGAATTTTGAACTTTGAGTCCCTGTATCCTGCCTACCACATCCCTGTATCCTGCCTACCGCATCCCTGTATCCTGACCATATTTGTCAGAATTGCTGCCCGTTTTTAGGGTCAATTTATGAATGACAATCGCAGAATATTCTTAATGATTGAACTCCTCGACTTTTATGATATTTTTACGAGTAAATCCATATTTTTTTGAATATTTGAGGTTATTTGTAAGTGACAAATACGTTGAGCCAAATTTATGGTAGAAATCAGAAAACACTTCATCTGTTAATTATTTTCCGTATCTATAGCCTTTAAATTTTTAATTCTATCTCAAAACTAAGTTAGTAAAGCTAAATTAGTGCGTTTGTTTGGTAGTTCTTCCTTGTATTAATCAGGTGTACAGTATACTGTTATCGCTTGAAATATTTTTATTTAAATAGTTTTAATGTTGAGTTCAGTTGTTGAACTGTTGCAGTAAAAATAATGTTAATGTGGAGCTACTGAAGATATTTGTTATGATGTTTCATTTTGTTTACATGTCGAGACCATCACGATTCAGTTGAATGTTATAAGTTGCTCTTCACATTCATTATCAATGGTCAAAAATACAATTTTTTCTTTGGATTATCCTCTTAATGGTTCAAAATGGAACAATAACAATGTTCCCATGATTTTCCATCTATCACTTTATTTCTTTGATTGTTAAACGTCTTTAAAATAATGAACTACGTTTCCTGTTGTTTTTATAATGATAAAGTTTATTGGGGTGAGTGACAAGTTATTGAATATGTGAATGAATGTTCACTGTTGTTGATGCGTGGGTGTGTTATGTGGCATTCCGTGGCATTCCTTGAGGCGATTGCGTTGTTTGTCATCGACTTCCTTTTGTCGTTGTAAATCTTAATTATTTTTGCCAGTTAAGCGTAGTTACCTAATGTTTGTTACTGAATCTTTTTTATCCATGATTTTGTAATAAATGTTAATTATCTAAGGTCAGTTAATGATTCTTAATTATATAAGGTTTGTTACTGTACTCGTGCAATATTTCGGTTATTGAGGTCTGTCAGTTTAAATAACAATATCAGAAGTTAATGTTGGTTACTGCCTTCTTATTCTGAGCCAAGTTAAGGGAGATCTCGCTCTTCAGTTGCTGCCTTCACCACATCATGACATTGTTCGAATTAATTAAGTATATTGTTACCAACTCGACTCTTTTGTATTGTATGTCCATACTCCATCCTACCCATTGACGTCTAAACAATGAACTCGCATTATATTTTGCATCATTCAGGTTTTATTCATTCTTCGATTAATATTACTCGTAAATGATGAGGCATTTAATGAGAATCCGGAGTGAAAGTCGATAAAAATTCTACCTATCGTTTCATTTAATCAAGAAGTGGCAGTTAAGGCCGGGTTCACGCCATACTGTCGGGCGCGCACCAGGCATATGCCGGTCAATGTCCAGTCCAACATTCTTTAATGCATTTCTATAGCAACATTTACACCAGCCGTGCAAGGCACCTGCCATGCCCATGGTGTGAATGCTTCTATGGAAATATATTAAAAGAATAATGGACTGGCATATGCCTGACACGTGACCGGCAGTATGGCGTGAACCCGGCCTTGAGTGATGAAGGGTTGAAACAAGCAATATCTTCATTGGATACTAAATATTTACTCGTTCTTAAACGTCTTGAATAAATAATTTACTACGAAAAGTAATGAAAAATAGAGATTTCTTAGCGACAATAAAGCCTACATTTTAAACATAAAAAACGAGAGGTGATGCCAAACTTGTCCTGCGTACTACTGACCGTTCTCTTACTGAATATTCCAACACATGATTTTTTCAGCTCTTATTTCAATATCGATTCATTGTTAATGTTTGATGGCATTTAAGAACTGGGGGAAGCTGCTGTTGTTGAGGCTTGTGCAGCAGTGGCAGCCCCCGGTGCCGGGCCCAAACTGATGGCGATTGGGGCTCCCAAAGTTGCCGCTCTTATACGGAAAAAGTTTATTTTGGCTGCTACGACGTCGGGAGAATCGTTATCAAAAATGAACTGCCTGAAGCGAGGGTCGACGAAGTCTCTGGGTTGAAAAGCCTCTGGTGTTTGCTGTGCTGTAGCTCGGCCATTGAAAGAGAAGGCGCCTGGAACTCTAACCGGTTGTCCCAAGATCAAGTTTGCAGCTGAGATCGGGGAACCGAAAGACGACGTGCTGAAAAATGTGGATTTGGTTGCTGGATCTACAAGCAAATTACCTTGGGCTGATGGAGGCTGACGTTTTATAGTAATGTCGTTAGATTCAAGCGTCTGCGTGGCAGCCTGGGAAGCAGTCGATCCAAGTTCAGGTTGAGTTGTAGCTGTGGCTTCATTGATAACAGCTTCTACAGTTGTGACAAGTTCAGCAACGGGCGCACTCACGGGAGAGTCAACGGCAGAATCGGACGAAACATCAGAGTGAGAGCTTGCGGAATCGACAACTGTCTCACTAGCGGATTTAACTACAGCCTCACTATCGAATTCAACTACAGCCTCACTAGTGGATTCAACTACAGCCTCACTAACTGAATCTACAACTGCCGTATTTGCCGAATCGGTGACCGACGCACTGATGGACTGGACAGCTGGAGCTTCGGTATCAGTTTCTTCAGTGACTACTTTGACAGTTGCTGCCGCCTGAATAGGCAAATCGGCTTCAGTTTGAGTTTCCTCAACTGCAGGCGAAGCTGGAAAAATAACAATTGCTGCGTTCGGAGGAACTGGTCCTGAGAGGGCGGCTTGGACAGCAGCCTTGGTTGCTGCATCTGACGAACTTGCCTCTACCCCGGCAGCGTCTCCTTTAGCCACTTGGGTTGTCTCTTCTTCGACTTTGGTAGCTACGGAGAGAGACTTACCGCGTAATTCAGGCGTGCTCTTCGTGGGTTTTGAGTTAATTTTTGTTTGCGAAAAGTCCTTTTCAACGACAGTCACTGCTGGTAAATCGTCTGCTTGCACTAAAACTTCATCAACATGTACAATTGCTTCTGTCTTTTCGTTTGTTCTTGCATTATCGGCCTCTTGCTGATTCGATTGTTGGACGTCAACAAAATCCACCACCGCTGGCTGTTCAAGCAAAGTTCCTGACAAAGAATCGGAGCTTTCTGGTGCTACAACTATCGTGTTTTTTCCAGCATTAGAATCGTCAGTAATTTCATCTCGGAAAATGTCAAGCTCAACATTACCAGTTTCTGCGTGGGTTTCGGCGTTCAACGTTGACGATACCACGGACGTCTCCGGAACCTCTTCGAGCGCAGAAGTCTTTTCAGTGTTCGGCTGACTTTCGGTAACTTCAGCATCACTTGCTTGATCGGCAGCCTGGAGGACCATGGCCACCACCGTGGACATGGCATCAGGCAGTGGAGTGTGAAGCTGACTGTCGTCTAAATCAATTTTCTTCGCCAATCTTTCCTCGGTAATCGCTGCGTTTTCTAATTCTGCTGCAACATCTGCCACTTCCTCAGCAACAGTTTGTTCAACAGCAACAGCAGCTTTAATATCACTCTTGATGGCTTCTGCGAGAGCAACTTGAGCTTTTTCTGCTGCAACTAAGGAAGCTTGCGCCACATCCTCTGGTGCTTCAACCTTAACTTCTGCAATAAAAGCGTCCAAAGCTTCCGCGGCCTCCGCAGCTTCGACAACTTCTGATTTTATTGCTTCTTCGACCTTCTTCTCGGATTCTACAAATTGAATGATTTCGGCTACGTCTCCCGTGAGTTTTTGTTCTTCTGTCACCGGAACGATTGCTTTCTCTTCGACTTTAATTGTGTCTTGTATTAAAACTGCTGGTGCAGGTTCTTCATGCTGCTGCCGAGGGGAGGAGGCTGGGGCAGGCACCACCACGGGAACCAATGTGTTGGGAGCGGCTAGGGGGTCCTTGAGGAATAACGGGACCAAGCGGGTGATGCTAGACCCGGAGCTGCCGATGACGGATAATTGCGGCGTGGGTGCCGACAAAGCTCCGGCAACGAGCACGACTGACAGCTGGAAAGCGGAAAGACAAATTTGAAATTATTTTAATGCGATTGCTTCCGAATTTATTTATTTTTCTTGAAATTTAAATTTATGTAATCATTACTCATTGCAAACCGTTGTATATTCCTTCAAAATGATGTTTTAAGCATTTTGCATATGAGATGAGGGTAAGGGATTGTGTTTCGAATAATCGACAAAAATACGATCAAAAATTAACGAAATATCAATACCATAGCCGGTTTGTGTTCGGGCTGAGAAAGTAAAGCTTAAGACGGAACTCACGATAACTATTACCTGCACCGCTATTTCACAGCGCAGAACTTTAGTTTTTTATTCTTTTCAAAAGTTGCGATCAAATTTCCCAGGCTTGTAACCTAAAACTAGGATTCTGATATATTCTGCTAATTAATTCATATCAAAACTAACATTAAAATGCTTGTTTCGGAATTACAGCAATTTTTTTCCCAAGCGCGCAATGAAAGTTTTTGAGTATTTTCTATCTAATATCTTTCGCTCCGTTATTGTCAGACAGTTTCTGAAAAATTTTAAACAAAATTCTCTTTTCTATGATGTTCATTTAATTAGAGAATTGCTTCTCAGACGTGAAATATTTTTCTTTTGTTGATAAAAGTTTACCTACTACAAAATGTTCTTTTTCAATTCATTTAAAATGAATGCTATAAATGAGAAAAATTTCATGGTTCCCTGGGATAACTTAAAAATTTTTATTTATTAAAAATTTGATTGGGGTATTGAGCCATCAACGTCAACAAATAAATACGTGAACTCGTAACAGGATAAATTTCCTCTCTTCCTGAAGCATTTGTTGAAAACTAATGTGCATCGATGTGAAAAATTTAGACGAAATCAGGTCATGAAGTTTAAGTTCTAGTTTATTTAAATATCAGTGTTTTCTTGTGTTTTGGTATTCTAGATGAATTGATTTATACAATTGAATACTTTATTGCTGACTTTGTTACTTCGATTTGCCGCTTCACCGGAAGATGTAAGAAATTTACATGTGCAGTTTGCTGCCATTGTACCATCATCACTGCACCAATGATTATCAACTATGGCTAATATTGTTATATAATAATACTAATTCAAACTCTGAGGATTGATTAATTATCATAGCCTAATTATTTAATGACAAGGCTTACTGCAAAAAAGGCTGTTTTTAATGTGACTTTTGTACTTAATACAAATTATACATGCAAACGTTTCGGCTATCACAGAAACTTGATACTCATGAATGAAACCCGTCAGCCTGACCTGCTTCTTCAATTTTCCATTGTATTTAAATCATTTTTTAACTTATTGAAAATACGCAAAAAAAGACGAACTAAGTTTTTAACAGAGTTTCATAGAAAAAAGTCTTGTAACTGTTCATAAAAGCCTTTCATATTTTATGCAGAAACATATACTAAAATGGCATCAGCTTTAATTCTCAACTCACAAATATTTTTTTGTATCAGAATTATCGATGTCGTGTTAATTATGACCGATCTGTTGATTATTCCTGAAGTAGAAGCTATCACTATTTAACGTTACCTTGGCATGATTCGCACTTAACAAAATGTTACGCAAAAAATACAATTTCATTTAAATTACTGTGATCATAGTTATGAATGACCTGGAGTAGCACGCACCATGAACTGCATCCTTGCTGAGTTGGACCAGCAATGAGTAAGGGTACCGCGTGGCGCTCCTTTATATAGGCGAGCTGTGGCCCCCCGGGTGTCAAGGTGGGCTTGCCCTATACCACGAGGTCCTGAGATGGCATCGCTCTCTGCACCTGCACGCCTTCACTACGCTCTTACAACGCTCCTAATGTCTAAATAACATGCGTTTAAATATTTATTTTTAAAGAGGACAGTGTCTCCGATGTTACACATGTACAAGGAATTTCTTATTTTATTTTTAGATATTAGGAAAAATTATTTTCATATTTTTCTTATGTTAAAAAATGTAAAATTATTCATTCTGTCAATTGATTCTTGCATTGTCTCCGACTTTACGCAAGTGTGCAAATTTTCATATCGATGTGACAGGTAGAAGTATGTTAAATATCGATTAGAAGAATTGAAGCAGACAAACAAACAAGCAAACAAACAAATAAACAACAAAGAGTGAAGTCAAAGAGAAGTGCTATAATTAAAACGCTTTCAGATTCTATATTCATTATTGACGCGTCTTTATATCAGACAACATGCAGAATTTAGACGACAAGTTAAAAATTTACCTTGAATTAAATGTACTTACATATTTGTATATACTTGAATAGTTTTTTATCTATTGAATAATCATCTAGAAAAATTCGGACTTCTATATCATCTTTCCGTAGACAAATAGCTAATTTCCAGGAAAGAGTCAACTTCATCGAAGAGTCAGCCTTCTCAGAAGCAAAAGCCCGTTTTTCGTGGAGAATAGTTTGCCGCTACCGAAAAAAATACGATGACTAATAATGTGAGTTTCAGGCAACCTTGAATCCTTGCCTCTAATAATTGTCCTCGTATATATTCGCTGGAAGCAAGACTTCTTCAGTAGCCCGTTCTGCTCGAGCTTACGAATACCTTCAGGAATTTGGTCTATAGTGTCTGATTTACTTGGAATCTCCTCTTGGTTATGCTTCGGTTTGTCTCAAGACTTGCTTCCGATTTTTTTTTGTGAATAATGAGTATGAACTTAAATGATGGGATCATCCAAGCAGAGATGGAATTATGAAAAAGTGGAATTAAAATGAAATTTGATGCATCCGTCGAATTATTACACATTGAGGCATCATTACATGAAATTCATAAATCGTCTTCTAGAATTATCTTCTGCAACACTTCTCTGCTAAAATAAGATTGTTTTCAGTTACATTTTGCAGACTTTGTTCAATAATTATCTAATCATAGAAATATTAAATGATTATCAATAATTATCTAATAAATTTATTCCACTTTTCCTCATTCTTTTGATCGCTCATTAACAGGATCCTGGATAACCGCATCTTGTTAACGGCACCGGAATTTTATCTTGTTTGATACGATCAAAATTTATTCACTTTAATTAAAATATATAAATTGTCACGATTCCATACACTAAAATCTAATGAAATAATGTCCCGATAGTGACACACTTTCTGACACACAACACGAACAGACAGTGGAAGCAGCAGTGGTGGGCAATTTTGCAAGCTAAATTGGGTTGGTGTGGCCATCACAAGGGCAAATAATGCATCGCCATTTGGACAAAATCTCTCTCAATTCTTTGAGTGTACTGGCATTTTCTCGGCTGAGTCACCTGATGAGTGGAAATATCGTGAGAAAGAATATACGTCAAGTCTGATGATAAAGGAAATGTCCATTAAAAGGTCTTCGCTGTAAATATAGAGCTCATTCACTCCGGCTCATGCACTCCGGCTCATGCACTCCGGCTCATGCACTCCGGCTCATGCACTCCGGCTCATGCACTCCGGCTCATCTGGCTCCGTATGCCATTACTGAGGCAGGTGCAGAAACCAGCGACTGGCTTGCCGCAGTGACGTCATTTTCTGACAATTGGTCGCCCGCGGTTCTTCGTTGTCATGCCTTTCTGAATAATGCTTTAAAAAAACAGTGTGACTTTTAGAAACAGCAATTTTGCAAGCTAAATTGGGTTGGTGTGGCCATCACAAGGGCAAATAATGCATCGCCATTTGGACAAAATCTCTCTCAATTCTTTGAGTGTACTGGCATTTTCTCGGCTGAGTCACCTGATGAGTGGAAATATCGTGAGAAAGAATATACGTCAAGTCTGATGATAAAGGAAATGTCCATTAAAAGGTCTTCGCTGTAAATATAGAGCTCATTCACTCCGGCTCATGCACTCCGGCTCATGCACTCCGGCTCATGCACTCCGGCTCATGCACTCCGGCTCATGCACTCCGGCTCATCTGGCTCCGTATGCCATTACTGAGGCAGGTGCAGAAACCAGCGACTGGCTTGCCGCAGTGACGTCATTTTCTGACAATTGGTCGCCCGCGGTTCTTCGTTGTCATGCCTTTAACTGAATAATGCTTTAAAAAAACAGTGTGACTTTTAGAAACATTTGAATTTAATAATGTAATTTGTTTTCATCATGCACTGTCCACTTCGCAATTAATATTTATTGCGCAATTATTTCGCATCATATTAGTCCAATTTTATTGGACCAATTTTTATCATGATTTCGTTTAAGTCATGATATATTTTCAGTATAACATAGAATTCGCTCTGCTTATCTATACGATTTCAACATAAATTATTCATAAAAAGCATTTAATTCTTCATGACCAGAAGTCAGTTGAAGCAGCCTTGACTCGTTACCGAATAACAGCTTCATTGAGGCTTGTTTTCAATTGTTATCCAAGGCGCTACCGTTACGGACACAATCTGAAGCCGTACGGTGGTCGATGTCTAATGAAAAAATTCAGGAAGTGAAGGATTTTTTAATTGACACGAACAACCGGGAACGGGGAAAAAAAAACCCGAAAAAAGAACGGGAAAAAATGGCCAAAAAAGGAAACCAATTAAGCAACGAACAAGGAAAAAACCAATTGCGCAGGTCCAAACTGCGTCAGAATGACACACATAAAAGCAAAAAGACTTGGGTTCACTCAAAATGCTTAATTCGTACAATTTCATCCCTTTTCGCTCGGTTGAATTTTTTAAAAGCGTTTCAATGTCGATAGCCTGCGCAGAGGCCGTTAAATTCAATACTTGTGATTATATGTGCGAGATTTTGTCACTGATAGCCGTACAAGTACGATAATTTTAATGTTAAAGACGTCGCTTGAGTAGTGAAACTAAAAATCAAGTTAATATATTTAATGTGGTCCAGGTGTGCCAAAATAATTCCTGGTATTGTGCCTGCCTCAGTGACAGTCATTACGAATTATTATTGTAACATAAGTTTTTTGTTAATTAATTCGATTGAAAAATCGAAATTAAAAGATTATGAATTCATATCTTCTAGTGCCTTCATTTCAATATAATTTCAAATACAGCTATAATAAATAATCGACGGTATCTTCTTTTTGTAGGTTGGCTTGCAGCCAAGTCGTAAAAACTGGCTGCCAACAATCTCAACGCCTGATCACTAACATGGACCAATAAACTTTTGAACTCTCCGTATAAACGAATAATCTTACTAAAACTTATGAGCGCCAATTTTATGGTTGATAAAATAAAACCCAATCTTTATTGATCTATATAGTTCTTTCATTTATTCTCCTATTTATTTTCCGCGTTGAGTCTTTTCTTTCTTTTCCTGTCAATGGAGTAGTTCCAGGATTTTCCATTGGTAAACTTGTGACTTGTAGAATTCATGACATTTCTTCACATTAACCAGTTCGAAGTTCATTAACTCCGCACTCTCGAAGTTCTGCAGCAGCAATCCTGATTGTGGCTGGGTTTTTAATTGTAAACCTAATAATTTAACTATGAACGTTGTTCAACATATTTAGTTTTAAATTGGAAACTAGGCATTGGTTCGATTTGTTTTTCCACTAATATCCATCTGGTAAATCTGGCATCGTTCACTGTTAAGGATACTATAAAAATCCCAGCTTTCTGAATCCCGTTAAAAATTTCTGTTTTTAAGTAGGCGTAATGTTAATTAAATTAAAGTTTTTTCGAACCAACTCATAGAACAACTCTCTCATTAAACTCTAGTTTCGAAGTTTGAAGGAAATTTGTTATAACTATATTCAGAATTTAATTTTTCTTTATGACCAAGAAACGCTAAAGTAAAATTTGTTTCCGAGCTCACCCTATCACTCCAAATTTTCAAATTTTTACCATACTCTATTCCTCCAATTAAAATAAAATTTCAGTCAAGATCTCATAAAAACAATAGTGAATATGTGTTCGTATGGCCTCTATATATAAAAAGCACCCAGCTGCAAAAAGATGAACATTCTAAGTATATTTATTACGAATAACTTGGTCCATCGTAGCAGTTCTTTTCAGTTTTGAGTCCGCTCATGATTTTCAGTAAAATATTTATTTTATTTTATGCTGTAATTTAATAACGGGTATATTTTCTCTCAATTTTCTAACACAAAGTTCAAGTTTTTAGAAATGTATTTCTAATTCATTTAAACCGCCAGCCTTCATCAGCATATTTTTCAGTGGAGAATCAATTATATGATTGAGCGGAAGTGTCCCAATAAACGCGACGTGTTCTGGACGTGTCGCAGGTCAGCCATGCGTTTCGAGCCTCGATTTCTCTTCGTTTTTATTGTCATCTCTACATTTTCGGCAGGTCATTTGTTAACGATCAAAAATTCAGTCGTGAAAAGTTTACCCTTTTTATCGTCGTAGTGATTATGTTGAGATGAGATGTTAGTATAGCCGAACCCGCTCAATATTTTGGTGTCTCAATGGTAGAAAATGATACATTTTATAAAAGCAAGAAATTTAAGTAAGAAATTTAATGAAAGTGATTTATTGAAAGCGAGAAATTTAATGGAAGCAAGAAATTTAATAGAAGCAAGAAATTTAATGGAAGGAAAAAATTTAATGAAAGCAAGAAATTTGTGACCCTTGCGAGTTGCTCAAAAAATTGCAAAAACGCAATTTTTAAATGCCATATCACCATGCTATACGTTGTAGCATATATGTATTGCCAGGCTATTATTGCCTTGAGGCCGGTCTCTTCATACAATATAAAATCTTTCGGTTGGACAACAAATTTCCT